ACACCTATCTCCTCTCTAGGTACAGATGGCCGTTGGCTTACAAGGAGCTCATCCATCTTTTGACAGATCTTGTTTATAGTCCTGCTGGGTGTCCACACACCCTCGTCACCCAGGCTAGCCCAGGTGGGGGCACCAGTTTAGTTGCTAGCAGCCAGACCCTGAAACAGACTGTACTTGTTTACAAGGTACCAGATAGCAGACCAAGAGAGACCTGGCCTGACAGGACAAGGGGACAAAGGGATAGGCAAGACACTTATTACATGACCTATTTAATTTTTTTCATTCAGGTTCCTTGAGGTGGCCCTAGTATCTCTCTGTTGTGTGGTGAGATGCCATACGTTGCACCATAGATGCACCTGCTATGGAACTCTGGTGTGGCCCATAAGGGGTTAGGTAAGTGGCAGGTTTTTACTGTTATATAGTACAGTTTTGAAAAACCCTCTAACTTTCAAAAACTGTGCTGTATAATTAAATGCCACTTGATATATTTATAAGCCTATTCCAGCAAGCCTTTATGATAGCTGTCATGTCATATGAGGCTTAGTGGGGTAGATGCTAGCTTCATCACGTTTAAGTCATCTCAAATTTATTTTTGTTTTCTTTTTTTTTAATATACTGCATTCCTCATTGCTTTTGTTTTTGGCACCAAACAGCATGTGTTCATATAACTTCAAAACAAATTTAAATAAAGTAGATTGCAGTGTACATTAAAACCATTTTAAATATTATGGTACTAGGGCCCACTGCCTTTTTGATTCAGGGACATGTTATTAGTTCCAAAATAGAAGCAGTTGTGTGTGGGAGAGACCTAATAATTTGAGGCCCAATTTGGAGCTCCTTTCAAAAAAGAAGGAAGATGATGATCCAGCCTTCCAAGTCTGTGAATCCTGGACCAACAACGTTTAGCACTATTCCTCTAGTTCTTACCCACTATTCCTTCCACCCCCTCTACTTCCCCTTTGGAGAAAATGGTATAAAGCTGATTTTTTTGGCAACTATTAATCAAATGTTGCTCTTTGCACAGTTTTAAGGGGATGTCTCCAAAATGGCCTCTCAACTGATCCAGATACAACTCTTCAGCATCCCAGTCTTGAGTAAAATTTGGTTGTTGGAATGTGCATTCATCATGTCCCAGGGATGTTTTTGTGCACAAGTGACTCATTTTGCTCCAGCCATCTCTTTCCATTCTAGAGACTTGTCTGATAAATGTTGTATTTGCTGTTTTCTGTGTTTCCGAGCTGTTAGTTTTATTTTAGTGCTGTTAGTTTTTTATTTTCAATGAAGTCATTACCTGATACAAATATCTTTAATTTTAAGATTAAGTTAGATAAGTATATGAATGAGATTATATGACATGACAGTCTGATATTCTTTAATTGGACTTGATTTAGGAAGTCTTAGTTCTTTGATCCAAACAATGAAAGACTAGTAAAAAATAATTCTAATTTAGGAACTCTGGCTATCTAAGTCATAATAATTTTAAATGGCAAGAAGCATAGTTGCCTGTTCAGCAAATAATCTAGATTCTTTTTTAATCATATTTTTCTTTACTGTGATTTCTATTAATCATTTAAACACCTAACTTTCCCATTTAAGCTTTTAAAATACTATTGGTGAGTAGAATAAGAATTAATGGCCACAGTGGATGTAAGGGAAATGTAACAGAATGCCAGATGTCTGTTGCTAGGCAAGTGGCAGTAAAATACCTACAGGTTGGAGTCACTGGAAATGACAAACGACTATAGGCCTGTGAACTATAGAACAGTATGACTCATTAGAAATACTATAATATACCCTATTGTTTTCCTCAAGGCACATCAGAACAAGCTGGCAATATGTTCATTCAGAGAGTTGGTACTCTTAAGAAATGGGCATGTATATATGAGGCCAGTTTTGCACTATATAGTCACCATTTCTTAAAAGAAAAACAAGCAATTTTCATGTTGCAGTGTTTGTGGCTGTTCAGCATTGTCAACTCTGGAATCTCAATTTGGCCATGTTTTAATAAGGTACTTTGTCATGTGCCTTAATATTAAGAGACTTATATTGAAGTCCAAGAACAAGGATCATAGTTAATTTTTTGGCTAGTAGACCATACAAAGTCATTATAAACGGTTTTAATATTGAGAGGCATAATTTTACTGAAGTAAAAATAAAAAATGTTAGGTATGTGTCTTGCTGAACAGTGGGTTAGTTAGTAGATTGCTTAAGGTCTGTGCTACTTAAACTTTTTTAAATTTTTAAAATGTGAATATTGCAAAGCATTCTCTTCCTGCGTGGCTAGAAGTTAATTTAAACCTTTTGAGTTTTCATTTTTCTGCACCAGTTGCTCAGAATTTCACTGACGCTGGATATAAGCTTTTGTGCTTTGGAATTAGGACTTTGCGTGTTGCAAGAGATAATTGTTCTTTGAAAGATTTTTCACCGTGGAAGTAGATTCATTATTTAGAAATTACTGTTATCATCAATTGTTGCATATTTTTCCTTAACAAAATTTACTCTTTAGAAACTGGAACAACTCAATCAGTATCCAGATTTTAACAACTATCTGATATTTGTTCTTACAAAATTAAAATCTGAAGGTAAGTCCTTGAGTCTATCCTCCTTGATTTTTTTTTTTCTTTTCTTTGTTTAAATCAGTTGAAAATTCCATGTAGTCAGATTGTTAATTAAAGAAATGGAGAATAGATTTAGTTGTTTCTGTAGCCAGTTCTGCTGGATGACCTCCACACATGAAGCTCAGCTCACTCCATTGGGGCTGTATGGGTGCAGAGGTTTGCAGGAACAGGGCCGTAAACTAGAATTTGGATTTGTACTAACAGAGAGGCCCTGGGACTCTAGATTGCATCCTGATTGCCTATGAAAACCTTCCTAGAATTTTTTTTCCCTTGATGTTGGCATTGGCATTTTACCAGACAACATACTGTTAGACCATGTGATAATCTTGCAAATTGAGGGAATGGGTTTTTAGTTGGTACAGGTGACCCTCGCCATTCATGGGGAATATGTTCTTGTATCCCCAGGAATGGCGAAATTTGTGAATAAGGCACTGCGTTCATGAATGCAGTGCCCCCCTAGCGATGGGGGGCACAGTTCTGGCAGCTCCGGCGGGAGCGTGGCGGTGGCAGCAAGCACGGAGCTCCCGAGGAGTTCCTGTAAGCGTATGAAGTGTATTTAAAATGTGGGCTCGGCATTCGCAAATATTTGATACCGCGAATGCCGAACCCACGAATAGCAAGGGCTTTCTGTATTAGGCCAAAGAGCATGTGCTATTTAAGTTGCCATACAGTTTGACATACTTAATATCTTCTGATGGAGAGAGTCCATAGTATTTAAAAAAAAAAAAAAAAAAAAAAGGCTGATCACAGTCTACTGAGATCCTTTTTGATTCTTTATTTCATAGGGAAATATATTACAATGAATCCATTGGCTAATAAAGATTGCATTACTGTTGTGGGCAGTATAGCATAGCGGAGTCTAAACCATGTCCTCCATGAGTTGTGCTTCCAAATTTACCATTTGTTTCCTCGTTCAAAATAGGGAAAGGGCCCACTGACAGCTTCTTTTTCTTTATCAGATTCCTTCCAGACTATCTAGTTGCCTGATTCATGAAAGTTTTGCTGCAAGTGTTCTGGGGCCTACTTCAGTGTTGTCTTTGGCACATTTTCTGGCATCTACTTTACCATTCTCATATCACATTGGCATGTTTTTGCCTTTTGTTTTTCTGAAATCTTCAGCAGTTTTTCCTTTGTACTTGACTCATGAAGTTGTCTGTCTCAGTGTGCTGACTTGTAGAATTTCAGAACCATGCACTTCTTAAACACTTGCTTCATAGTACCTTGGGTCCTCCATTGTGTCTCATGTCCATTGATACACATTTTGTTCAGCTTTGAACTAGTTTCTTGACTTGCATGTTTCCATAGAGCTTTCTTTTTTGTTTATATCTTCTTCAATAAAAGAGAGAGTTCCATAATGTGCCAGGGTGTCAGGTGAGTAACTTCTGAGTATGACCAAAAGTAGGGAGATCTTCCAGAACTTCATGAAATACCCCAAAGATACCATAGTGCTTTGAATAAACCTGAATAAATCTGAGACAGCCAAGAAGATCCCTGAGTAGATAGTGCTAGCGCCTCTCGGCTAGCACAAACCCAACTTCTCCTGCCCTCTTCTCAAGAAGCTTATCATTATGACTTTGTCATGACATAGAACATCTCTGTTATGAACAGCATACTTGGATGCTCATGATTTGAGGTCTGTGCACAAAAGACAAGTGCAGGACATAACAAGGGCAGATGCTTAATAGATTGTCTGAAACCTCTTGGTATGTATGTTCCATTTCTGATTTTTTTTTTTTCTTCCTTCCGTGTGTGGCTAAAAGGGAAATAAAGATATGAGTGCTGGATAACCTGGTCTAATCACATCTGACAGTAACAATGTATCACTATCTAGTGGTGTCCTTCAGTTTCTTTTTTCTTTACTGATTATATGTATATAATATACATATTATATGCTTCTGTGTTGGGGGAGTGAGGTAGAGATACTGGCTCTTCTAAAATGGCTACCTTAGAGCCACTTGTTCTTTGCCAGTGTGACAGGCCAGACTTGCTCAGGGAAAACATTTCAAGAATCCAATGTTAAACTTGGGGATTGAAGGAGAACAGGGGATTGTGTTAGTAAGGGGCAGAGGAATCATGGAAAGGAGCTGTTCTGCAAAGGAGATGCATTGGTGTGTATATTGGCAGTCATATCACACAGGTTCACTGCAGGAGAGCATTTCTTCTGAGAATTTATTCAGCCCTGTGCTGGCATGTTCTCTTTGTAATTGGTGTTTTTTCCCTTAATCTTTGCCTTAATTGACAGTGCTCCAGATGCAGGAAATTTTTATTTCAATTCTGGCACCTTTGGGTGCAGCCAGTTGTGGGACTTCCTCAACACTTACTACATTCCAAATGCCTCATGCTAGCTTGGAAAAGTTCAAACCCTTGGTTGGAAGGGACCAGCCTAAGGAATTTTATTTGGGTTTATTTGAATCCAGAATTGCTTCCGAGTTTTAAGTATGCATTCACCGGGGAGGAGCTAATTTCTTTTAGTATTCAGTAGTTAACATGCTGCTACATCTGGTTTTGAACCTTCAAGTGAAAGTATGGCAAGCCACTTGCACTTCTGCCTTGTCTTAAAGGCAGTTGAGAAAAAAGTCCCTCTTTAGGATGATCTTGGTAATCTCTTTTAAGAGTTTGGTGGTGACATAGCTGAGAAGGAAGAACCAGCTGTATTGTGAACCACAGATTTGTGAGCTGTCTTACTGAGCACTATTTTATGAATAGTTTTCACTGTATGTTTATTCATATCTTTATAATCCCTACCCTTTGGTTATGGAAGCAGGTTCTCATCTTTGTTGATGCTTTTCTTGAGGAGGAAATGCCAGCTGTTTAAATGCTAAAAAGAGAACATGAACATCAGGTGTGGTTAGCCCTTGATACAGGTGAGGCAGTGGCAAAGGCTGGTGCTTTGAGGCATGTAACTATAGACAAGGGCCAGTCTAGAGGGGGCGCTGTAGCACAGATGCACTTCTCTCTCAGATGATGCTGTGGGAGCAGTGTTCCCAAGGGAAATAAGACTCTCTCTCCTCCTTTCTTTTCCATGGCATGTCCTATCCTGTCCTGCTTCCCCCCACAACCGCTGCTACCGTTCCCACTGTCCCTGCTGACCCAGGGGTGAGGGAGCTCGATAGCCACTCCTGCCGCACTCCAGGTGGGCTCTGTGGTGAGCTGGGTTCAACCAGGAATATCAGCAGGCAGATTTCCCCACCCTTGCTTGGTCCCCCTGTTTCCTGCCAGCCCTGAGCAAGTATGAGAGAGGAACTTTCCAGCACTGCCGCTGTCCCTGGCCATTTTCAACTCTGTGTACAGCCCAGCTGAAGTGGGGCAGGAGAAGCCCTGGAGCTCATTCCCACCCACCTTTACTTTGAAACCTCATGGTAACAGCAGGAGATGGAAAAATGGGAGTGGCAGAAACAACGTTGCAGAACTGCTCAAGAATACAGTGCCATCCCTCCATATGAAAACACTTGTCTGAGCTGCAGTAGTCTGTTGACCCTGGATAAGCCTCATCAGCCATCTTTGGACACACAGATAGGACAATCATGGAAGACAATCACCCTCAGCTACGAAGGACTGCTGAAGAGAGGTTTTTTTCACTTATGGCATTTCTTTGAGTACAGGTACAGATAGGACAATGGCTGGTGCAACTAGTTTGAAGTTATGACTCCTGTCCTCAGTGGTTGGTTGTGGAGATTTTGGAACGCCAGAATTCCTTCTGGGGAGGTTGCTAATATAAAGTAGAAGATTACTTTGTCTTTGACTTGATGTTTGTTTTTGGCAAACTCCATTTACTTTGTATTGCAGTACCTTCTTCCAAGTCTTTGGATAAATTGAATGAGGGCAACCTAGGAAACCTGGCTGGTTCAGTCATGTTCAGATTGGGCCATCAATAGCTTGCATCAGTTTGGAGAACTCCTGTTAGAGCAACAATTTAAAAAAAATAAGTGAGGCCTTGTATACCTGTAAATGTAAACATAAATCTATTTGTACAGACAAGATGACTCCCTAGCCAGATCCAGAGCATAAAACTACTTTTGAGAGAATGTATTCAAGTGAAAAGGTGCCAGTATTTTATAGGATGTTAATTTTTTAAGCTGATTGTAACCATTAGTCACCCAGCATTCATATATAAACCAAAATAAATGTTTGAACTTGTTCTATTAACTCTATTACTTTTTGGAGATTGCAGTACTTTTCTAGTTTGGAACTGGGCTGTAGGTTGAACAGCTTTATCTTCTGGAAGGTATCCCTTTTGACAGAGCAAAGTAACCAGCTTTTTAAATGGGAATTTTATTCTCATAGATTTTAAAAATATATGGAAGTTCTATAGTCTCCTTTGCTATCTTTTTCATTTTTAAACTGAAGACAGGGTGCTGATTTTTTTTTTTTTTTTTTTTTTTTTTTTT